TAGAAAGACAGGCCCAGACCCTGGCCGAGGACAGGCTGTGTCGAAGCCAAGCACCTGCAAACCATCCCCGGCCGCTGCCAGGGTCCAGAGGGTGAGGATGCCCAGCCCGAAAGGACTTGGTCCGTTCAGGGGAACCTGGGAGGCCTGGGCAGCCAGACCCTCCTTTCTCCGGCGGTCAGACACCAGGGCAGGCCTTCCAGGACGGAGCCAGAGGAAGACCAGGAAGCGGGCAGTGCAGCCCTCGCCCCAGGTGGCCTTGGGGATTAGAGAGTCCGTGGCCCCTCACCTGAGGGCTGAGCTGGGGAAGCCTGCAGGCTTGGACTAGAGAAGCAGGTTCTGGAAAGTGAGGGATGGCCCGCTCCCTGAGTCGTCACAGCCGTGAGGCCGCCTCAGCGTAAGAAGTGGGGACACCTTGGGAGCGAACCCTGAGCTCCAGGCCTCTGAGTTTGGGAGGAGACAGTGGAGGGAGTAGGAGGTGGGGGGACAGACCTTCCTATTGGCAGCGTGTCTGGCGGAGCAGAATCCAGGTGGGGAAGGGGAGGGAGCTGCCCGGAGAGCTGGCCGTGAGGGAGGCCCAGGTCCTCCAGGAAGGAATGAGGCACCAGGGCCGGTGGCAGAGGGCCAGCTTTTGGGGAGCAAACTCACTGCAGCCCTTCGTGACCCCGCAGAGCATCCCCAGAGTTAGGGACGCTGGTGCTCTGGGGCACGGTGCAGACTTCCTGCTCACCACCAGTCTGTGCCCCCCTTGTGTTTGTGGGGCCACACAAACCCGGGTGGACCAGTGCGTCCAGGGGCAGGAAGGCACCCCAAGGCTGGGACACTGTCTTGGTTGTCCTGCCCCGGCTCACATGGGCTCTTGGCTAACCTTATCCAGGTGCCGCCCAGCTCCTGGGCACACGCATGCTCACTGCCTGGGCAAGGGAGCTCCTGTAGGTGCTGCAGACCCGCCTCAACCTCTTGCCCCTTCAGCCCCGGATGGGGAGGGCTTCCAGCTGGTGCTACTCTCGGGTACCGCCCTTCCCTGCACCCCCTTCTCCTCAAACCCCCCGGAAAGCAGCGCGTTCATTAAACTCTCTTCAATTGCCCCATCTAAGTGAGCCAACTGTCCCCCTGCTGGGACCCTGACAAATGACCAGAGGCCTCATATCAACACATGACATTGGAAAAGCAAATATGCCCCCATCACCCCTCTGGTCTTCCCAAACATACTCCGTCTGGAGCCACTGGCGTCTCCTCCCTATAACCTGCTATCCCCCCCTCCTGCCCCCCCCAAAGGTGACCCTGGTCCTGGCGGTGGCCCCGGATCATCGTGGGAAAGAGGGGGCTGCACTCCCCTTTGGTATCGGGGGGAAGATGCTCAGCTCTCACTGGGCATGAGCACAGAGCCCTCCCCCGCCCCTCTCACCCTGAGACCCGGCCGGCGCTCCCACAGGCTCACCTCCGTCCATGTACAGTGACCAGAAGATGACCCGATAGCCTTTGAGGACGCCATTGAGAGTGCTTCTTGGGGGCTCCGACCAGGAGATGACAGCCACATCGGAAGTGATGGACAAGGCCCGGACATTCTCGGGGGGCTGGCTGGGCACTGCACGGGCGAGGGGAGAACCGGAGGGCTGGTCAGGGAGGCAGAGCACAGGCCCGGGGCCGGCTGCCCAGCCCCAGGAGCTTCAGGTGAGGGAGGAAGGAACCTCTTGACTCACGGAACCAAGTTTGCGCCAGGAAGTGAGCCACGCCTCCTTCCCTGGAGACTTGGGTAAATAGAGGTCTTTATGCACCTGGATCCTTGCTCTTTGGGGGCCATGTCCCCGGTTCGGGGTAAATGCCAGGGAAGAAGGCGAGGAACTCTGGCATGAGCCCCCGGACTCAGCAGTGGGCACCGCAGCCCAGGGAGTCCACCTCTGCTGGACGGGCAGCCGAGGCTCCGCTGGCCCTGGAGGGTCTGCAGTTGATGCCTTGCCTCATGGCTGCCAGCTCGTCAGTGTCACCTGGCCAGGGCGCCTGAGCCAGGGCCTGGCCTGGAGACCTGTGTCCTCCTGCTGCTGAAGGAAGGGGGGTTCAACTAGTCCTGGTGAGAGGGAAACGAGTTTCTATAGATGCCACTGGGACCCCCGGACCATTGCGCCTCTGTGCCTGGCCCTGCACACGAACACACCCAAGCGCCTTGGATGACTGAGGGAAAAACTCTCTCTGAGGCCAACGTAGGTGGTCCGCCCGCCTTCGACCCTCTCCCGTGAGAGCTGCCTGCGAGCGAACCTGAGATCCACTCCTGCGTTGCCCTGTGCCGCTCGCCCTCTGGGATGACAGAGCGTGGGCCCCAGGCCCAGGCGCCACCTTGGCGACCAGACCGTGGTGGCGCTCCCTGCGGGCCTCCGAGAGGCTGGAGGGCAAAGGGAGGGCCATGCCGCTGGGCTGTCCGTGGGAGGGAGGAGGCGCAGGCTGATGGAAGGTAATTAGATCCCGTTGCCCCACAAGAGGCAACTCTAATTTTTATGAGCATTTAAATGATAATACATCATCCTAACGACCCTCTTTGAGAATGATTATTGTTTCATATTACTTAGGTGTAAAAATATAAGCACCATGTAATTAGGGACCCAGTGTAATAAACTAATACAGATCGCCCGTTTGAACAAAATGAAGGTAATATAATTATGGGAAAGACACTATTGCTGGAGCAGGGGCCCTTGAATACCCCAGGAGGAGCGCTAATAGTGCCAGGAACGATCGGGATCTGACAGGCTAACGAGGGCCTTAATTAAGTATGAAAAACTGCTGAGCAAATGCTGCCGGAAACTTTCTTCCCTCTCCTCCTTTGTTTGGAAAACGACTCCACAGCCCAGTCTGATCTCTCCCTGTTGGGAAGCCCAGGCCCCCCACTCCCCAAAGCAAGGGAGGCAGTGCCCCATGAGGCCGCGGGTGCGCCTGGCCTGGCTGATTCCTGCATGGGCCTGGGTGGACGGGAGCTTAGTGTCTGGTCGGCAGGACTCCTACACGCATCCTGCCTCCACATCAGTTGGTCCTGCATCCGGCTTTGCTCCGGAGCAAGAGGGTAA